TCAGAACCATCCCCATCCAATAATTTTCATAACTCTTCTAATTTTTCTCAACCCCCTTTTCAACCCATATTATCCAATAACCCTGACCCAATCACTCCCACACCCTCTTATGCTTCCCAAGTTACCCCAACCTACTCCTCATACCATTCTGACCAATCATCTCATTCTCCAGACACCCCCCGAATCTCCCCAGAGCTAGATAATTTTATTACCCTTCAACAACAACCCTACCACCTTAATACCCCAACCATAAACCAAATCTCCTCCACTATAAATTCATCCAATCCCCCTACCCCTACACCCTCTTCAAATTATACTGAATCATTAGCACCATCATCCACATCAACTGAATCTTCACTCAACACTAATAGAGCTTACCGCACTTTTAAAAGAAAGTTCCCCAACCATCCTTTCCCAGCAAAACCAGGAACAGCCCGTGAATACATCAACCACCCCAAGCATACTAACACAAAAGAATTTTTAGCCATCACCTTACCCTCATTCCCACAATACACCTTAAACACCCCCCACGACACTAACGAAACACGCAACTTTGTAGATGAATACGTTTTAATGCCCACTCTCTCTTGGACCTCATATTATCATTTTACTAACCCTCTTTGCTTACCTTTATCTAACACTCACATCGATATAGAGCGAAATACGGACATGCTATATCGACTCACTACACCACTAACACCTAGACAATTTACTTACGTTGGATATAAAAAATCACTAAAAACACACACTGCACCTAGAGCTAACGAATATACACTCGAATACTATGATCACAACATCATCAGAGCTAACCAAGATCAATTCTTAGACGACGATCGCTTCGCTAATCCACAAATTACCGAGAAATTTTTCATCAAGACACCATATATATTTACACTAAACATCTTCGACCGAAAGTTTGATCACATTATTTCAGAAGCACTAACAGACACCCAAGCATACGAAAGTTTTAAAGAACGCTTCCAAATATTTTCACTAACCTTTCATTTCCTTGCACCACACGAAAGAGATTTACACTGCTCACACGATATTATGTTGCGCACTAAACAAACCCACACATATAGTTATTATCGCTTCATCCAAAATCACTTTGACCTACACACACCTTCTAGACAACCACACCATCGTTTTCAATTCATTAATTCCAAATACACTTCACCATTTTTCCTAAATTTCACATATTGCATTAAAGATACTAACCTTCATGGTATTCTTCGCAATTATGATCCCATAACCCAAATGTACATCTTCTGTCCCATCACCAAGACCTTCAACGCCGAAGAATCCCGACCCTTCCTTATCCCGCACGAGTTTGTACAACCTATAGAAATCCCAATTTTAGAATTCATCCACAACACTAAATTCAATCACAAATTATATAATCTAATCCAAAACACACCTTATGAGTTTGCAGTTGGCACTGAAGAACTAACCACTATTAAGGCACTTCAATTGCTTTGGCCACTGCTTCAGACTAAAAATATCATCCGCATCTTAGCTAAACTACTAACAAATTCCGATCTCATCCACGACATCTTCCCCCACGGTTTTTTCCCCGACGACTAACAGGTAAGTATGAATTAAATGAATATTACTAACTAATTAAAATATTAAAAACTCACCATTCTTTATCCATGTTTTCTTTAGATTTTTAGCTTTCATCCGACAATCACCTACAAAAACCACAAACGACAAATAAAAATCGCAAATTTCATCAAACAAATTTCAAAAATTCTATTAATCTCTTACACTTATAAATTTATAAATTTAATACCAATGCAGTAAATTCATTTCTAAAATTTTCCCCACAAGCAGTAAATCTAATTATGATGAAAATTTGTAACTTAATTTCCCCCAACAACTAGCAGTAAAATTAAAATTCTATGTAGTAAATTCATAAGAAATAAAAGCAGTACTAACCTTTTGATATTTTCATTCACTCGCATAAAAATTCTATCCAAACTCGCACAGCTCGCCCACGAAGAATTGTTTAAAATAATGAATTTCAGTTTCAAGTTTTCACACTCAACAACTCTAACATATAATAACATGTTTCAAACCTTCCTTTAACCCGGTTGGAAAGGAATTATATACTAAACAAAACTAACCAATGCAGCTTACTAAACACCACAACACATAGCATAACAGCATGACTAAGAAAAGGAAACCAACGGTACCCAAACCGGATTAACCCAGTTTAAAACTGGATAATTTATTCTTTTGAAGACTATTATAAAGTCTAAGAAAGAAATAATAAAACACAAAAAAGTCGAAAGACAAACCCATACCACAAACAATTTGATTTTTGAAAAAAGGACACAACCAACAAAACATAAGAAAAACCACAACAAACCCAACATAAAACGTTGTCACATAACAGGACCTCTCACAAAAACCGCATGAAATCATACTCCCACTCCTGGCCTAACCCACCAGGAAGGACGTCCTGAGCATGCTCTATAGCCGGCCTAACCCACCGCGCTACATCCACGCTTTGTGACCACACCTCTATTTTTAATAAGAGCTACTCAAGTGTGAGTAACTCTTCAAAATAACCGAACTAAAACAAAAAGCTTTTGTGAAAACAACTAACTAAAATCATAATTAAAAAATATTAAACTAATAAATGTTTTATAAAATGTAAATTACATTATGCAATACATAGATCAGAATACAACACCAAGGACGAACATCTAAAGACAAAACGACCCCACTACACTCGAGAGAGAATGACCAACCACAATCGATATGCCACTCACAATCACAACTCAAAGGATTTAGAGTACGACTTGACTTCGCAGAAAAGGACTTCATTGAACTAGACCAATGACCACCTCGATGTTCAAGTATACGTACAGATCCGAGTAACCAGGCATCCCCTCCACGCACAATCTCCACGCCATTCCCAAATTAGATCAGACACAAAAGAAGTTCTCCACGCAGAACAGAAAAACCTGACATAGCAAACCATTCTGAAATCAGATTTGAGTTTGTTGCAAAGACTTAGTCGTTGTCACTAGAAGACACAACGTCTTATGTCTCTAACTCCAGCTTCCTGGAACTTCTTTAACAAAGAGGAAACAGAAGAAATATGATGTTCGCCAAACACCAACGTCCATCATCCATCCTTCGAATTGCAGAAGAACTATTCTAAAAAACTCTGTAAAACCCGGATGGGTGGAACCTGATCTAGACTACATTTTATGATTGGATAATTTAGATATTTTACCAATGTAAAGTATTTAATATTAACCAATCATGATCCATCTAACTAACAACCCACTTATTTGTAAGTGCTGAAGTTACTTGTAATTTCAGCACCAGAGAGATTTGAATTTAACTTAGAAATTAGTTGGACTCTCCCGAGCACTTCAGCAGCCGCAATAAACCAGTATACCCTAGATCTATTGAGCCTAGCAGAGACTAGTTAAACAACCTGAGACTAGATAGTATAAGAGTAAGATTAGGATCGGTATTAGACTAAGAAGTTGCACGAATCTATCCGGCCGAAAATAAGATAGCGTGACGAGCAGACGGTGTACCCTATCCGAAATTACTCTATGAGTTAACCAACTCGGTCATAACTCAATTGAGCCATTCGGCTTAAAATTTACTTTGAACTTTTACAGAAAAATTTATATCTGGCGTCTGAAACTTTCAAAGTTTATATTCATAAAGTTAAGACTTCAAACTCGTGATTAATGTGAACCAAAAATCTATGCTTTCCAATATTCAACTTTTCAACAATCCAAAGACCGATAAATTGGACTGAAAATCAAAGGACTGAAAACACTGGCGAGATAGATCTATGTCAAAAAGAGGAAGCACTACGCATTCACAGAAACCACAACAGGAAAAAGAGAAGATGCTCTCATTGCTGGACTTGTGAAGAACAGTTGGCTGATACGGAGAAAGGGTACTTGTCCACTGTGTCTACTCTATCAATTTTCCCGGCTGGGCACACAACCGCTGCAATATGAATCAAAAGACATTAAGTTTGTGCCAGTTATAGCTCATAACGTAACCAACTACGAACTAATCCCAATAATGTGTTTTCCCTTGTCTCTATCACTCAAGAAGACTAAATATCTCTGATGATCTCAGTATGGATCAAAACTATTAGGGAAAACACCCAATGAGTATAAGAATCTGCGTTTCATAGATTCAATTAAGTTCATGCCTTCGTCGTTTTCAACATTGAAAACAGCTTTACCAGTGGAAAGATTTAAACACAAAGAAAACTAAGTTTTAATTTAGAAAAGGTTTTGGGACCGAAAAAAAATTCGCTGTTGAAATACCATCCCTAAGCATACATTGATTTCTTTGATCGTCTTCAAGATCCGAGATTGCTAGCACGAAAACTGTGGGTTAACCAAATAGCAGACGGTGAAATTACTCATATAGCAGAATGGGAAATGTGTGTTGTTTGAGCCAAAACAATGCACTTAGGTTTTAACAATCAAAGATGATACAGGACCGGTTTCTTCCACGATTCAT